AAGAACAGATAATGGCGACCGTCTGTTGCAGCTATGCTCAGATAACCGCCTGTTCCTTGCAAATACTAACTTTAAGCATAAGGAAAAACATCTTTTAACATGGCGACCCCCTAATTCGTCCCAACGTTGGACCCAAATAGATCACATCGCTATCAGCCACCGATGGAGGGGCTCGATAGAAGACTGTCGCTCATCCTGGAGCACATGCCTAGATTCAGATCATGCTCTAGTGCGAGCGCATATTTGCTTGCGTCTTACTGGACGTAGGAAAGACGCTGCAAGGAAACCTCTTAGGGGCCTACTTAATGATAGTCAAGCTAAGAGTATATTTCAGGAACAACTAGGAAAACAGTTAGGCAGCCATGTATGTGATGTCCACCCCGAGGCAGCATGGAATGATATCCGAAAAGCTGTGGAAACAGCAGTGATATCTGCTAGTAAGGTAAACCAGAAGGTTAGGGAGCAACACTGGATCTCAGCAGCATCTATCGCACTGATAGATGCTCGGAAACTCATTCCACCTGGCTCTGAACATAATGAAGAGCGGAGTCAGCTTAAGCGCAAGCTGACAAGAAGTCTACGCAATGATCGCGAACAGTGGTGGGTAGCGAAAGCAAGAGAGATGGAAAAGGCAGAGGCAATAGGTAATAGCAGACAATTGTTCAGACTCGTTAAGGAAACCGGAATTAGGAACCCGACCGTTAGCGAAACAATCTCAGAGAAAGATGGACATATTATTCATTCTCAATCCAGGAGATTGGATCGATGGGCAGAACACTTTAGGGATCAGTTCAACTGGCCTTCAGCCACACTTCGGTTTCCCACGATCTCAAGTCAACCTGAATGGCAATTTAATGTAAGTCCTCCGACTCTTTACGAAGTTGAAAAAGCCATAGGAAATCTGAAACGAGGGAGAGCAGCAGGCCCTGACAGGTTTACTCCTGAGATTTTTAAGGATGGTGGTCCAGTATTAGCAATGAGATTAACCGAGGTCTTAGATAGAATTTGGGAACTGGATGTAATCCCATCTGACTGGTCTCAATCACTGATTGTGCCAGTCTATAAGAAAGGACAAAAGTCCTCTTGTGACAATCACAGAGGAATCAGTTTGACTAATATAGTGTCTAAAATATTAGCTTCAATAATACTTCGACGCCTAATCAAAGCTCGTGAAGAGCAGATCAGAGAAAACCAGGCCGGTTTTCGACCTGGACGTGGTTGTATAGATCAGATATTCACACTACGTCAGGTTCTAGAACACAGACACACATTCAGACGCCCCACAATGGTAGTATTTCTCGACCTTAAGGCGGCATTCGACTCTGTTGATCGTGAGGTTCTATGGCAGTGTTTGTCACTGAAAGGAGTACCAAAGAAGTACATTAACCTTATAAAGGCTCTCTACTCGAACACAACTGGTAGAGTGAGAGCTTATGGCGAACTGTCATCAGAATTGATTACCTCAAGTGGTGTTCGTCAGGGCTGTCCACTCTCCCCATTCTTGTTCAACTTTGTGGTCGACGTACTTTTAGAGATAACACTCTCCTCATCTAAATTTCCAGGGGTTGAACTTCTACCGGGAGGTTCACTTGTTGACTTAGAATATGCTGATGACATAGTTTTATTTGGTGAAGACGCTGACAAAATGCAGAGTCTTCTGACCACTCTAAGCAACAATGCAAGCATGTTGGGCATGCGATTCTCTCCCTCGAAATGCAAAATGTTGCTTCAGGATTGGGTTACATCGACACCCGAACTAGTGATATGGAGTGAAGTAATTGAGCGTGTCGACCGCTTCACTTATCTTGGAAGTCTCATCAGCCCTTGTGGTCTGGTGTGTGACGAAATCTCAGCACGGATACAGAAGGCTCGACTAGCTTTTGCCAACTTGCGTCATTTATGGCGTAGGCGAGATATCCATCTATCAACCAAAGGACGTGTTTACTGCGCAGCAGTTCGTCCCGTCCTTCTTTATGGCAGTGAAACATGGCCGGTAGGAATAGAGGATATTCGTAGGTTACTAGTATTCGACCATAGGTGTCTTCGAAACATTGCTCGTATATCATGTGACCATCGAGTAAGTAACACAGTTGTTAGGAAACGGGTACTAGGTAAGGATGGCAAATCAATTGATGAAGTAGTGAAACTTCATCAGTTCAGATGGCTGGGACACGTGTTACGTATGCCCAACGACCGACTACCTCGACGTGCTATGTTCAGTGGTATAGGAGTAGGTTGGAAGAAAGCTAGGGGCGGCCAAACCAAAACATGGCACAAGTCCATGAAGTCACTGAGAAGTGGACTGAGTCATGTTGGTAGGTGTAGACTACCTGGTTGGGGACCACGAGATGATAGCAACCGATGGTTAGAGACCCTGAATGACATGTCCCTTTTTTCCTCTTTCCAAATTTATTTCACTCGATTATACTCTTTAAATAACATCTCCAAACCCTAATCTTCCCGATTACTGCTTATACTCTTATTACCTCTACCACTACGGGATTTGAATCGACAACTGCATCTCTGTGCTAATGTAGTGTGGCAACTCCAACTGATGTACGTACGTACGAAGTTCTACGTTGTTACTGACTGACTGATGAATTTCATTCAATTGATTGTTCCGCAATGATCCGTAGAGTTGCGATTTGGTCTGTACACGATCTATCCTTTCGGAATCCTGCCTGTTGGTCACGAAGTTGGGCGTCTACGCAGTCCTTCATCCTGTTTAACAATACCCTGTTGAAGACTTTTCCCGGTATTGAGAAAAGAGTGATGCCCCTGTAGTTATCACACTTGCTGAGATCGCCTTTCTTCGGTATTTTGATCAGAAGTCCTTCCTTCCAGTTTGTTAGTACTTGTTCCTCATCCCAAATCTTATTGAAAAGAATGTGGAGTATCCTTGCAGTTGCCGCTACGTCAGCTTTTAGTGCCTCTGCTGGATGTTGTCTGGTCCTGGTGCTTTTCCACTCTTGATTTACTTGATGGCCATGCTGATTTCTTCAACTGTTGGTGAGCCAACATTGATTGAGAGGTCCGTGGGTGCTGCTTCGATGTTGGGTAGGTTCAGTGGAGCTGGTCGATTCAAGAGTTCTTTGAAGTGTTCTACCCACCTGTTTTGTTGCTCTTCAATGTTGGTGATTACCTTGCCTTCTTTGCTTTTTACTGGTCGTTCTGGTTTGCGGCGATTTACAGAGAGTTTCTTTGTCGTGTCATGCAATTGTCTCATGTTTCCTTCTCTTGCAGCCTTTTTCGCCGTCGTTGGTAAATCTTCCACATATTTACGTTTGTCGGTTCTGATGCTCTTCTTCACTTGTTTGTTAACTTCTGTGTATTCAGCTTGTGCTTTGGCTTTTTCTGCTCTTGTTCGACTGGTATTGATTGCTGCCTTCTTGTTCCTTCTTTCTTGAATCTTATCCAGTGTGTCAACAGTGATCCATTCCTTTGGATGGTGCTTCTTGTGACCCAGGACTTCATGACATGTTGAAGTGATTGACTCTTTGATCCCCTTCCAGTTGCTCTCCACAGTAGTTCCTTCTCCATTGAGTAGATCAAGAAAGGTCTGGAACTTATTGCTGAGGACTATCTTGAATTTGTTGAGTTTGTCAGTATCCCGAAGAAAGGCAGTATTGAACTTTTGTGATATTGTCCGCCCCATTGTCCAGTGCTTCTTGAGTTTCAATTTCATCTTGGCGACCAACAAGTGATGATCTGATGCTATATCAGCTCCTCTCTTGGTTCTCACGTCCTCTATAGTCCTCCTGAACGTTTTGTTGATGCAAATATGGTCGATTTGGTTTTGTGTAGAGTGATCCGATGAAGTCCATGTGGTTTTATGTATGCGTTTATGTGGGAATATGGTGCCGCCTATGACCAGCTTATTGAAGGCACATAGATTTGCAAATCTCTCGCCATTTTCGTTTCTTTCTCCCAGTCCGTGTCGTCCCATGATGTCTTCATATCCAGTGTTGTCCGTTCCAACCTTGGCGTTGAAATCTCCCATCAGAATGGTCAGGTCCTTTGTTGAGCACTTCTCGACGATTGACTGCAGTCTATTGTAGAATTGATCTTTGGCGTCTTCATTGTAGTCGTTGGTAGGCACATAGCATTGGATGATGTTCATTGAAATACCCTCTTTCTTTGTTTTGAACGAGGCTTTGATGATCCTTGGTCCATGAGATTCCCATCCTATAAGCGCATTTTGCGCTTGTTTGGACAGCATAAATGCAACTTCTTGTGTATGTGGTGCATTTTCTTCTTCATGGCCGGAGTATAACAGGAGCTCTCCTGTAGTTAGTCGTTGTTGTCCAACTTGTGTCCAATGTGTTTCACTGATCCCAAGTACCTCTAGGTTGTATCTTCTCATTTCTGCAGCAATTTGGAAGGCTCTCCCGGTGTCCCACATTGTACGAACATTCCATGTACCTAAATAAATGGTCGCTCTGGTTGTCAGAAGGGGCATCGGCCTCGTAACTTCCGAAGGAATTCGGCTTTCATCATGAGGCGTCATAGTTTTTCTAAATGAAGACCTTCTGACTCCCGAGGCAGAGTTTAAAAGGTTTGAATAATTTTTTCTGGTTAGCGTTTTTTTAGCGAGTTAGCTTTCTACGGGATGGGGACGCTAACCCCATGCCCAACCCTCCTCCTTTATCCGAGCTTGGAACCGGCAGTAGCCCCCGGAGGGACATCAGGCGGAGTTTTGGAAGTGGGTAGGACACACATTTAGGGAATCAAACTGCATCATGACGTAAGCGCTAACTTGGAATCTTGAAGGGGAATGGAAAAGAGGAAGGTCAAAGAACACACTACATCGGAAATCGGAAGCAAACACCAAAGGGATGAATAGCAACTGGAAAGGATTGTTAAGAACAAAGTAGGATGGAGAATGCTGGTGGGCGGCCTATTTTCCTCCACGAGAGGTAAAAGACGTAAGTATATAACTGAAATATTAGTGTCGATAATTATATAAATTGTAATGATCAAACCAAAAGAATGTTACATACTGGTATTCGTAAACCCTTGACTAATTTAGCCTTGTCGTCCATGTTTAAATCTGTAACTGTTTCAATGAGATCACCATCTACGAAATTATGCGACATCTTAATTTCACGATCAGCTTTAAAAGCTCTCCATGTATCATGTGAAAATCCACCGACAGGTACAACCAGATTTGACAAACGAAACTCGATTTCTTTCAAAAACGCAAATAAAACTGGAGAAACTTGAACAAGAAGACCTAAACCCCCGTTAACAGTACCGTAAAGGTGACCAGGATAACCAACAGCAGCCCAGCGTTCTTCAGCATTCTGAAGCACAAGATTACCTTAAATAAAACATACGTAGTTAAAAATTATTACAAATGTTTTTAAACTTAATTCGCATTATAGTTTCACAAATAAAAAAATTATGGGGGTATTCATATTACAGCATAAATCTCTGTAGCATTCAAAGTAATCTAAGCCACAATGCATATCTTACATAATTTTATACTGTTTTATTGGGACGTGGTGATGAAGTTTACGATGATTTACTATTTACACAAACCTGAATCTGTATCGATACCTCCAGTAAGTTTTAAATCCAGCGTCCATCATTTCAAATTATAGTAAGTATATCTTTTCAACAGCTACACGACCTGAGTTACTCCATGTTTGATCAGCTTGTTTACATACATCAATTACTTGATGGCAGAGACTCTCAATGTGAACAACAATGGCACTAAATAGGATTCAGGCACGCTAAAAGAGAATAGCTTCAAGAGATAAGAAGCAAGAGTTGTTACCCATTCCCAGATATTATATATATATATATATATATATATATATATATATATATATATATATATATATATATATATATATATATATATCGTCAGCAGTTACAAATAACCGAAAGTAAAACCAACAGTAAAACTGCGTTATTAATTTTTATAATAGACGGATGAAATGTTTAGACTCCTTAAGTAAAAAAGATAAGCATACAGTCCGACGGAAGATTGTTTAGGTCCAGAGTGAATGAAGATAATTCAATAAACATGTAGATTTTGTATTTCAAGTGACATTTTGTTTAGGTCCTTGAAAAAGTTCGGATCACTTCCTCTAGCGGAACACTAAAATAATACGTGATCTCAATTGTTGGGATAATCTAACCTTCAATGTCCATAACAGATATGAGAGTTAAATGATATAATACAAGCAACTTATAATGTCAGATTTTTAAAGATTAACAAACCAATTATTGATCACTTTGCTTGATATAACATGATTTGCCAAATATGATTATTAATGTATTGGTGATTGAAGTTGGGACGAAGCCTAGGTTATAGCAGAAATCGGTTAGAATTTCATCATGAGCACACTGAGATTAAGATCGTGCCAAATGTGGTACAGACTAACTTAAGTTACTGGCTTTTATTCCACCTGCTTCGGTTTGAGTACCCGGGCAGTATCACAGCCCTCACACATATCAAGTGAGGTCTGTGTGGCGCATATCTGTTTGGTGCCTCCTTGTACCAATATCTGTGTTAAAATAAATAAAATTCTACTGAAACAGTATATCCTAATACTCTGAGGTGTCTTGTATCAGGATTTTCAATATCTTCATGAAATTAAAAAACGTATGTCTTCTAGCATAAAACTTTAGAGATGATTTCAGTTCAGCACAACAGTTCTGACATCCGAAAAGAATGCAATGATTGCTAGGCCACTAATCCGACAAAAGACGGCATAATATATGTACACTATGAAGTAATTACCTAGAAAGACTGAGAAACAAATAGATGTTGAAAGGTAACCTGAAATCAAAAGCTTAACTGGCAAAACACATTGTAGCATTACTCAATCAGATAAAGAAAAAATAAGTCCAACCGTTGAATTTCTTTTTGAAAGTATAACCGATTAATTTAGTACATGTGTTTATAATAGGTTTCAGACAAATAAAATACTACTTCATTGCGAAAACCATTTCACTTCATAATTCAAAGTTGAGTAATGAATCAATTGAATTTATAAAATGTTGCATTAAAAAAATACTTACCACGTACAAATACATTGACAAAATCTCCTGTATGAAAATAAGCACAATCAACCAGACGTTGCATTTCACCTGATACACCACTGGAATTCGGTTTACTGCCAGTTAGACGAGAATCAAGAAAATGACGAGTTGATTGTGTACTACCACTTCGACCCTCTGCTACTGATGATGGTATTGAACTCATTGAAGTTGTAGTAGAACTAGTGCCAGAAGCAACAATATTATCATTAGTGGTATTGTCAGGTTGAGTTGATGAACCGGTGGTCTTTGATGATGAAGCATTATTGGATTGTAGTTGACTGGATAATGATGGCAAAACACATGTGTCACTCGATGATGATAATAAAGCACGAAAACTTGGTTCTTTAGTATTTTCTGGTAGATCCCTTGAAACGACAAAAAGGTTATTTTCCACTTCTGCAGCAAGAAAATGTTCATCATCAAGGATTTCAATACATGTTGTCCAACGAGGATGACGATGTCGTCCAATCTAGTATGGAATAAAAGTATCATTTACCTTTAAAACGAATTTTTGAGAACTAACAAAAAGAGGGACACCAAAACTTAATGTATATATCAAGGTAATAACTTAGTCAAAAATAAACACTTTGAGGAAACTATCAACTCTATATATTTATTAAAAACTAAAATAATTTTTTTCATGTCAATGATAATAGTAATAAACATCGTAACAAGTAATGGGTAAGAAAAAAAGTATAATGTATCTGACTTTCAGACAAAAAAAACACTAACTGAAACTTACAGCTTCAAAATTATTAACATTTGATTTGAATAGTAACAATGTTAATGAACGCATCAAGTCACCGACAAGAACAAAATCCCCTTTGCGACGAAGAAAAAGTACAATGATATTCTCATTGAAACTACAAGCTAATCGTAAAGAATCTTCTTTAATATCAAAAAGTCGTACCTTTTGAAAAACAATGAGAGTAAAAAGAATAGTTTCAACGAATATAAGCGAAATGAAAATAGATCTTCTTTATAAAATTAATTATTTGTAAAGTACATTGAATGTCATGCTCATTATCATTTAGTCAGTCAGTCATCTACAACGTAGGACCAGACAGATATATGTATTGGTCTAAGTTGCACAACAAGATTAACAAAAAACCCAGAAGTAGTTACTTCAATGGTAGTAATATATAAAAGAAAGGTTGCAGATAAGGATATAATACAGGGAGAAAGGATTAGTTCGTAGAAAAAAGGTATAAAGTAATTTGAATCTCACAATTTAAGGGAAGACAAAGAGTGTGTACACCTACGCCATTGTGATAGATTCTGAGCTATATCACCCAGTCTCTAACCACTGGTTACGATAGTCGCGCGTACTACATTGTTTAGAATGCTTTAATATATTTATTTTATTAACTTCATTTCAATGTGGGGGTCAGTTAAATTGATTACGGACGAACAGACTATGAAATACGAAATGTGATATTTTTGTTAGTATATGCATTGTTATCGGTTTTATCTGCTTATTAGCTTCAGCTGAAGGACCAAGTTGGTAGCTGTTAGGATAGTCGGAAAAATATACCAATAATTATCGTGTTAAGTCTATGGTGTCCTTGGACCTTAAATGTACATTTCCTATTGGTCGATGTTTATTTCACTTGTTAAATATTTTGTAAATGTTGTTTCCTATTTTATGGTACGATGTGGTATGCTTGATTGGTATATAAACAAAGTATGTTTGAAATATAATGATTCATAACTCAGAGGCTGTGACTTGTGTTCCTGACTCAACTGGCTGGGACAGACTGCGAAGCGGGACCAATCAGGGCACTAGGTCGTCCGTCCGTGTTTTCCGTGTCCGTGTCACTGTAATCGATCGATCGATAAATACGCTGCGTATCAAAACCTGCAGTCTCACACACGCGTTACAACAGTAGCACGTAGCAAAGATAAGTTTAAAACGACGAGAAACATAGAAATGAGTAAAAAAGATATGGATATAGACAATTAACAAGAAGTCGAAATGTAATAAGATGATCAAAATGTCCGTTACAATTAAGGAATGAATATGCGTATACCACCATGGTTGATCTCAAGTCGTATTGTACATGATAAGTCAATCAACCAATGTATTTAAACTTGAAAATTAAAAATTCGAAACTTTTTTAAATAATTAGGAAATCTCATTTTTGATGGATTGTGGCTGGATGTTTGCTAAATACACACTTCGTCAATGTTGAATTTTTGTGATATATCTAAATGACATGACAGGGAGTATAATCACAGAAGAAAATGCAATAAACAAACATCACATAGATAAGATAATTATAAAAACAAACGGTCAAATACTTATCGCCACATGATATACACCTACTGAACTATTGATAGCAGCTAGTAGACGACCATTAAAATCCACTATTCGATAAACAGAACCATTCACATCATGCACTAGAACTGTGTCCAATCTAGAAGATTCAGGATCCCAACGGAATAAATGAATTCGTCCCTTAGATGGTTCCACTTCATCTTCTACTAAGAAAGCAGTGCCTACAGCAAACAATGGTCCATTATGAATATCAGATTGAACAGAAGCTATACTGACAGCTACTTCAACTAATGTTTGACTGAAGTAGAAATTATGTGCAAATTGAATTTCCAAATTAGATTGATTGAATATGAGCAGAGATGAAACTTCAATTTCACGAAACTTTCGTTCAGTAGCAGAGACAGAAGCTAAAAATAATGATACACAAATGTTTGACATGAAATCATTGAAATTAAGTATTTTGCTCATAAATGAAGTAATTTGAATTTATAAGCAACCTGTGGGAAATTCCTGAAGAACTATCTTCAATAAATCCATTTTGGGGTTAAATATAAGACAAAAAGCGTATTAAAATGGTCAAGTTGATCTTCAATTACTAGACTAGTTCTTGATAAATAGATAGGTTTGTTGAAAAATTTTAAATTATGTGAATATGTATAAAACGTTGAAAGAAATGGATTTTCCGTTAGAAGAATATACTCCTAACGAGTGGCATACTTAGTGAATTATCTCAATTAATTAATACAATCAGTGTTTGGAAATTCTTCTGCAAATTTTTGCTTTTGGATATTTACTTTCGGCTTGTTTTGGGATATATCTCATCCTCAATCCAATTTTGTTCTTATATTAAGTTGAATGATATTCATTAGTTAAAGCGAAGAATACAAAATAAATCGTGAGAATATCAATTTTATCTACAAACAACTCCCTTCAGAAACACATAATAGTACACTTATAAAACAGTCCATTAATTGCTAGTGATTTGCCTTACACATGGAATTACATGTTGAATAAATACGCTTATAGATTAATAGATGTCATTTTCTAATGAAAAATATTTATAAGTTACACATTAAATACTGATTACTATAATATTGTTATTATAGTATTTGGAAAATGTTACGCGCAAGAGGGAAACATACATGGTGCAGTCTTTGGAAGTCGGCTAGCTGACTTGGGAATTTTCTGTGATAAAGATATCGATGAACGAACAGGTTTGAATCCCATACCTTCTTGAAACATTTCTTGACGATATGTAATAACACCTAAGCTGCTGGTCTCTGACTGTAATGCTAGGCGTTTTGGTGTTTCCTCTAAAGGCAGAGTTCTTACGTGGAGTTTTTGAATTTCATCCACTGATCCAATGATGAGTGCCGTCGGAGTAACCAGTGCAATGCTGAGTGGATTATAGAACGTGCATTCAGATACAAAGACAACACTTAATATGATTTGTGCAATAACATTAAAACAGATAGGACCTTTTATGTAAAAAAACTGCCAAATATATACAAATTGATCAATTTTGGAAATGCGCGCCATTTGATTTACAATGTATCCTGAAAATCCTCGACTCAACACATGGAGGAGGAGCCATTGAGGACTGTTGGTTAATCCTAGACTATGACAAAACAGTAATTTGATGCTCTCTGGTTTTCAGTACTTCTTCAGTTTATATTAACGCATAACAACGACCAATATGAAAGACTTACGATTGGGTGTGAAGACTAGTATTCAATAGAGCGAAATAATACAAGCGATTGACTCGTTAAAGTACTGACAAACTGGGTCGATCGGAAATCGGCAAATGATAAGCATGTGTGATTGACGATTGGGATAAAAGCCACAAACCATCGCATAGGATTAATTTTTTAGGGGACAAACATATATAAGCATAAATGAGTGGATGTACATAAATGCGCTTAGTCAAATAAACCTCCCTTCGCACTCTGCGTCTTTTTAGAGCATGTGGGCTTGTGTATTTATCACTATCAGCTTTCGAACATCGCGCGTCACAACATTTACAATACAAATCTGCACAATCCCCAATTACTTTTACTCTCAGTGATGACAAAGAACGATGACACATTTAGAAAATCTAATTTTTTTCTTTGGTCGATGATGAACACAGTGGAATGTGTGTGGGTATTATGTAGGGGAATAAGGGTGTGCTTGAAGATTGACGGTACCATATAAATCGGTAATATAGGGTTTTAAAAGTGAATTGAAATTATAATAAAACATCTAGCTCTGTTAGGAATGTCTTTATACATTAACATAATAAATAATAAGTTTTGAGATTAAAGAGTTCAAGGTTGAGGATTATGAAATGTCTACCGGGTCGTCAAAGTATAAAAATACGTTAACTCATTCACCAGGTACTCAGGTATAAACCACATTCAAAGTATGGAGGTTAGTGATACTACCCGGTCACCCGAGACTGAATGACTGAAAGTTAAAGGATTGAACTAATAAGCCACCGTTCCGCAAAATATTTTTAAAATGCTAGATAAACAGTCAATAACAAATGAATCAAAACATTTTCTCCAGAATTGATAGTAACCACTACTAAAACCACCATCAGACTGAATTAGAGGTATCTCAGTTCCTCGTATCTCATCAAATTATAGTTAAGATTACAAGAATGTCGGTCTGTAAAGTTAATATAAGGATAAGATAATGAGCCATTGAAATTTTGATGTGTGGACGAGAATGATTGGTTGTTTGCTTAGTCAGACATGTAGATAGTCTGACAGGTGTCAGATGAGTTCTATATTCTCCTGTCCTTATTATTATTAATGAGTGATTATTGATCGCTGTTGGATTATGTCGGTTTTTCATGTGGAAATATATTTACGTTCTAGTCAGACTAATTACGTGTTCTTGATCTGAGTTGTGTTGAAGTTCTGTAGAATAGACACTGAGAGGGAATTTAGTATAGATATCAATCTAAGGTAAATTAACTTCCCATTCGTGTAAACGTGGAAAACCGAGCGTTATAATAAATTTACTAAACAAAACGCTTTTTAGAATACACATAAACACACCTGCGGGTAAAACAGCAACTAAACTAAGATCTGTGGTAGAGTTTGAAATTTATAACCTAATAGCTGGAATATTCAAATGAATTCATCAGAGCTATCGGTCTAGTGTTACTAAGTTGAATTGATGATTAATTTGATGTTATTTTCGCCAATGCAATTATCCTAACATAAATTTAGAGATGACAGGTCAAACGATTCAAAAACGGTCAACACAACGCAGTTGCATTCACTTTTTTTCTTCCATTGAACCTTGAGCTTTGTAAATATATTACCCAATATTTTTTTATTTCACAAATATGTTTTTTTTTTCAGTATAATATATTGTTTATACCCAATTTTCTTCTACTGCGACCAAGACTGTTATGCTACTTAATCTAAGATTTATCTTGATAATTCCGTCTTGATCTGCTCATATAACGTGACAACTTGAACCGAGGGATATATGTACCAGGTTTCTACGTTGTTAATGACTGACTAATTGGTGATGATATTCATGTTTTTATGTTGTGTTCTTTTTTTACTACATAGTATATAAAATTTTAAAAAACAGTATAATTCTTACCAGTCACTATAAAATAATCCATTTAATGGAGTCATAAAATTCACTTCCTTCAAGTTTAAATTGGCAAATATTAATTTATTTTTAATTGAATATATTACACAAGGATGATTTGAGCAAACAAATACATTCACTTTACGTTGGGAACGCCACTGTCTTAGAAACATTGAAGGTCCAGTGCCTGCACTAACACGCTTGGGATCACGTAAACAAACATGATCTACAAAGAATGGAAATTAACTAGTTTATGCAGAAGTGCTAGAAACGTCAGAGAATAGAATATACAGTACTATGAGAACAAAATCAAGAAAACTGCGAAGTCATTATGGATTGGGATTTTATGATTTTATAAATAAATACGAATTGTAAGTGTTGAAATGAACGAGCGGCATCTCGATCAATGACAATACAATGATAAGAAGTGTGACCGAAAGATAGCTGCTCAAGATAACGAATTATTGACTTAGGCCACTGATTGATTTGATATCAAAGACAAGACCACTAATCAGATGAACGGGTTTCATGTGTAACAAAATTTTATATTAACATAAAACATCATAGATGACTAGAGGAAGTTTGTCGGTCACTTATTCGCCAATCAATTTAGACGTCAGTGTTAAGCCTAAATCTTGGACATCAAAGTAAGAGTGAATTGAAATTACTTGAAATGTATTATACCTAAAGATGATGTTAGTGTAAGAACAGACTTAAACTAAGACCTACACTATTTGTCCGCTAGACAAACTGTGGGTCTTTCTTTGTCAAACTTAAAAATACCTTAAATTTAGTCATGTTGGCAAAGAAGCTACAAAGGTTAGGTGACAAATCACAAAGTCTGTTATAATGGTATAGTAAGGTGTTGATTCTTTTCTTCTCCTAAATTTTGAGTTTTAATATTGTTACACACTTTTTATAACTTGAATTTATTGGTTTATAATTCTCTATGACCAATATTTTTGCTTTCGTTGATACTATTATTTCGACTGTTGTGACTGATCACACGTATATGATTCACATTAATCTCAATTTTGTCAGAAAATAAGTTCCGGGACTATATATGGTGTAGGAGCTTAACACGAAATTCTAAGAAAATTTTCAATATTTTTGTTTTATTCTAAAGTTTTCTCATCTCACTGTATCTGTGCTAGCATGTTTCGGTATACACTGAAATTGTGATCAAACTCATCTAAATGCTAGAAGATCATCTGTTTCTTCACTACCAACTATTTTTAAATGTATACTTGAGACGATGGGGAAAACAGAAACAATCAATAAACTGAAAGCTATTGTAGATAAATAAACCCCTGAATTAAATTTACAAACTAACAACTCGTCATTACTACAGTCGATAAATCGCTACAACCATCAACTGCTTTGGCGGATTACTCGAATAAATACAGATACTTCAATTTAATGAAACTTATTTATCAAGTGCATTTTTTACATTTAACTTTTTAGTAACATATTTTTGAGTTCAAGAATTAGTGGTGTTATTCAGGTGCTTAAACCAACGTAGGTGGGGAGGTGTTTGGGCTTGTAACTTATCAAATGGAAGTCAACTGCATTTAAATCACAAAACTATGGCTGTATAGATGTAGATATTAAATTAGGTGTAGAAGACATACATATAGACATACACACGAATGTCATATCATGAAAATAAGTTTGAGAACTTGAACTTTGAACCGTTGAAAACTCACTTTAAACTACTATACATAAACAGTAGTGTTTAGCCCGATCGTTAGAATTTGAATTACCTTGTAATAATTATCCGAAGTTAGTTAGCGGGTATACGGTATTTTTAGGCATGTCTAAACAAATTTTCTTAGAATAGTTACAATTTTTTTAAAACTATGTGAAAACGATCTAAATAAACTCGAACAAAAGAAAAAAATGGTTGTTCAATCACAACTTCATTTTAAAAAGTTGCCATGTGAATAAATATTTGAAAATATACAAGGCAACCATTATTCTGATATGATACAGTCAGTATGTGTTAACATGATTATATACGGGAAATAAGTAGGGCTCACCTTCTGAAGGATCAATTGTATAAAAGTAAAGAGTACCATCACCCATTGCAGCAAATAAATAAGCCATATCCTCTAACTGAGCAATCAATACAGAACGAGGTAATAGAGCTGTACCAGTTGATGCTGTTGTCTCCGGTAAAGGTTCTTCATGAACAAGTTCTAAATTAGGAAGTTTAAGTAAAGCGAGACCATGTCCTAACCATAAACCGACTGCAACTAAAGATGGTACAGATTTATCAAGAGTAGAAGATGAAGTTGAATCTATATAATTTGATGACACTGCATTAATAGCTGCAATTGCACGATCATGATTAAAGGGAGTTAGATCAATACAAGCCACTTCATGGGACATTTGTCTATGTCTATGTAAGCAAAAAAATTAGAGGACAAAATAGGATATACAGAATTCATTGACAGTAGTCATAATAATAAAATACATTATCACATAAGAACATTTTGAACTTCTTCCCAATTGGATATTTTTCAAAGGAATGAATATGAAACAAAACACTATTAATTATCTTCACCGTCTGGGTAAACACAGTATATTTAAACTTAAGGGACCACTAACATAACCGCGAAACTAAAACGACAACTGCTTGAAAGCAGTCGCACATGACCTTTTTGTGAGAAGCTTTTGATATGCTAGCCCCCTAATTTAAAGGTGTTACCGCCGGAGACGGGAATCCGTGGGATATAGTAGGGTCGTTTTTTTCTAGAGCTCCTAACACTGTGAGAAGGTAGCATCTCGGTATATGCTGGTTGTCTAAGATAAAAAGCTTACTGCCGTCACACAATGGTTTAGTTAGCGATGCGACCCCGCCCTTGAACCTTAGGTTGTTGCTCTTAGCTTTACCGTTTTCCATAACTGTCCCAGCCAACAGAGCTTGATTGGATCATTACGACGAGAAGCCCGACCACCACATCGAGGCAACACCTACAGTCGAGTGACTAATCAGGAAAATACAACCTTTTTGTGCGGTCCCATATTTCCGAACTTTCTTGAATACAAAAATAATAACAGCTGTGATGAATACTTCATTCATACCTCGTTTATGGCTGAATTATTAAATCCATGTGTGATAAACGCAAATCAAAACTCCTGATTTATAGCATAACTTCATAAGATAAATCTACCAAAATTAGTGATCAAACAAAATAATTTGTATGTCTGACGGTAAGAAGACCCGTGTGTAGACTAAGCCCTAGTTTGCTTAGAAGCAAAATACCACATACGCTTTTATGATTTTTTTAAAAATGATGTGTACACAAAAGTTTTATCTTGAGATTCTTCACACTGTATTCTTTTGAGAATAAATGACATTCAGGTAACAGATATATCGATATTCGGTGAAAACAGTAAAAACGGTGAACGCTCAAGATAAAGTTGAATAAAAACGATTTTGAATAGCATTCGGATTATAAGTAAACATTTATTAGTACCATAAATTTACTTATACATACTGATTTCTACGCTCGACACTTACTGTTGTTCTTTGAGTCCATAAGCATGAAGATAACCTAGTCTACCCATGTTTGAAGCAAACTGAAAATCTAGTCAAGTATGTTGGACAACAATCCATTTATATAATAGAATGCTGAAAGTATCCTATTACAAATGAATTTATTGATGGTTCGTTTGTTTTTCTTCACCCGATAAATGCTAGACATTTCATATCTAACAAACAATAAGAATGTTCACGTTGCTTTTACTGTTTCAATATGATGTGTACACTAGACGTATATGATTTCACAATAAACAGAAATTTTAAAAACTTACGAAACTTGTTCAAATTTTGGATTATTCGATTCTCCAACTACTTTTAACACATATAATTCTGTCCCACTCGCTACAACGATAGTATGACGAAATGAGCTAAGACAAGAGATTCCACGTCCAGTTGGTGGTTTCCATTCTGTTAAACAACCTTTGCCACAAAGTGATTGAATACCAATTAGGCGTAAGCCACTTGTTGTTGCTTGTAACAGTAAAGGATCTAACGTATTACTATTCTCGTCAATCATCATACATTCTGGCTTAGGTGAATCACTAGACGGTGATAGTGTAGCACAATAAACAGTTTGTTCATCAGTCTTAAAGCCTTCCAAGTGTAGAGCTGTAATATCATCATCCGCAAGGTGAAGAAGTCTATAAATAGGAAGAATGAAGGATAAAGAATTTAAAATATTGAACAAAAATCCACAGGAATAAAATTGCGTCTAATGGATTATTAATCAATTATCTATACTGTTGATATGAATGTGAACTTAACTTAAAGAAACATACATACAAACAAGTATATCATTTTAAAATTCATTGTGAAGTTGCGTAACTTCCAGGTTATAATAATTCCAGAACAGATGTTAAATAGTTAGGCATTTCTTTCGCTTAACTTTATGAAAACTAAATAAAAGTAAATGAGTATTAGACAACTGTATAATCGTATAAATCATTATTTATTCCCAACAGGATAAACCCAATGATTGTGTCTGGTTACAGATAACCCTATTTAACTGGGTTCAGTTGTAGTGTAGACAACAAAATTATACGTATCCGTACATTAAATAAGATATTTAGTGTTTAATAAATCGGGTAACAAAGAATTTTAGTTATAATAAATGATCCATACAAACACTAAATATGTTACTCACTGGGTCTGACCAACCATAGATACTACAATTGTATCATCGAAACGATCAGATTCAATCGGGAAGCACCAAGCACCTAGAAATGAATAAAACATTCCAATTTGATTCATTTCGGCAAGGATTTCATAAATATACGTGAGTAAATAAATCTAACTACTAATTAGGACAGATCGAAACACAATTCAAATCAGATAAGTAAACTGAAATTTTGATGACGTATATTTTTAAGATCTAATCAACTGTAAACCTACTGTGTCATGAGGTTATAATTTCAGATGTTGACTAAGAACTCAAAAATCGTGAAGAAATCAGCGTTATTTCATTTACACTGTACTCCTGGACAACTCTGGGGATGTTAAAAACAAAATCAGATGGCATAAAACTTATAACGTAACGAAGAATCAAACAGTACAAGGCGTCGATGACAGAATCAGGATAATCACGAGAAAACAATTATTTATCACTTCGAACACATAAAACATTTGCACAAGAGGGCATCAAAACATATGCGCCACACAATAACAATGAGAATGTGAAGAGATAGAGAATGTAAAGTGCGTACAAGAAAAAGGAGGACAATAACGAACAGAAATTAGTGTATGATAGTGAAATAATAATAATAGTGCGAGAGGCAGTTCAGTTAGCACAGATACAGCCAGAAAGAATTCTTCCAGTTAAAGAAGTTACGTTCATTTGTTATGGAGAAAGTTACAGCAGGGTCACCACTGGCCTCTGTTCTGAGCTATATCTGATAACGTTTTAAGTCACTATGTTGCACCATCTCTCGGACCCCAGCCAGGTTGTCGTGAAAAACCAAGAGCAGCCAGTCTTGTACAACTTTCCTTCATACCACGACACCATGTCATACACTGACCATCTCAGCTTTTTCCAACCAGTCCCAGCGTCGGCAAATAACGCACGACGTGGAATTTTCTGGTACGACATTCCTAGAACATCTCCAAGCCACTGAAGTCGATGTTTCACGATAGTGACACCAATTGAATAATCGTCATTGTGCCCGAACACACGATGCCGAACCTTTGCATTACTAACATGGTTTGTTACTGGATATCATCAATCCGTCTGAGACAACGATGATCAGAACAGAGAGTCGTCAAACATCTTCAACTCGGAATGGTCAGGTTTTACAAGCATAGAACAAAACTGCACTCACCAAAGCGTTAAAGATCCGATCTTTTACAGCCATACTAACATCACGAAGTTACCAAGGGGGGTGCAGATTGACATAAACCGCTCTGGCTTTCATCATGCGTGAATTGATCAATTAAGCAAGGGATAACAGAAAGCAAGTAGGATTTAACTATTAAATTGTTAAGCATTTTAGAAGGGTTGGTCTATTGACATCAACATTATCTGGTGTCGCCAACTACAACTAACGTATAGTGATGTCAGTCAGTCAGTTACCAACATCGTAAATGCCTGGCGCAAATATATATTAGATCAAGTTGTCACACCAAATCAGCACACAAAGATGAAATTAGCAAGGTATATATATATATATGATTGCTGTCCGACAGGTACCTTGGGGATTATGAACATCACCGAATAATACACTGAAAGACACAAACTAAGAAGTTCAATCCTAAACATTATCAGATTAGTGCATAAATATTTTCAAACAAGTTTATTTCAAACTAAGGATAACAGTAATAAACATGACAAATCAATTACCATCTCTATAGGGAAATTCCAAATCTTTTACACTCGAATCTCAACAAGTAGTAAAACGATGAAGTCGTTACAAAATAAAATAAAGAAAACAGTAACCTTTAATTAGATCTTGATCAATAGTAGCATGTTCATGAATCCCAATTCCATTGCGTATAACACGTAAACTTCCTTCTTTATAAGCTCCTGAACAAGTGATCAATTGATTCTGACCTTTTGTTTCTAATAAGACCATGTCAACTATCGGTCCAATATTTGTATAGGTTTCTAAAATAGTTATATAACTATTACGCTCAGGATCTGGGTCAGGATTTAAACGAATCAACTGTGAATCCCCAAGTGTTGAGCCAATAAATACAACTCCATTGTCTAGGTAGGCTATAGATTCAGGTGTCGCAGTTTCTCCTAAAAAAATGAATAAAGTAGGAAAATGTGATTCAAGTTATCAGCCAAATTGATATATAAACAAAAACTGAAATATTTTTATACTCTGTCACATAAAATGGAAATCATAAGTAATTATCTCTCAAAGCATAGCTTAATACAAAATTCCATGACCATTAAGGTATAACATATTTAATTTACTTCCTTAACCATCTATCAAAAAGTTTAGTCAAATACAGTGTGGCAAAACTAAGTTTACACACATCGTAATTAGATAGATGATTTTCTTTACAGTATAAACCCAATATTTTCAAAAAAATAAGGAAATATGACAAACCGGTCATTCACTATAGAAGCATTGGGCGAAACGTATATAAAACATAATTGTAGGTATAAAAGAAACATGTTCCAACAAACTGTCTCTTTTTCATAGGTAAACAAAATGTTTCATCAAGTTGTATGACTATTGGAAGTCATTAGAACACTAAAACTGAAATATAACGAGAATCACGACTGAAAGCAATCCTACACAAAAGTAATAAGATCTAATCAACATACCAAGAAGTTCAATTCGGATAGAACCAATTCGAACTGCTGAAAGACTATCAGAGGTACTTGTACCATTGCTAGCGGCCGCAGAAATATCTTCGGAAAGTAAATGTACCATGTATAAGCGCCCAGCCATATCACCCAGTAAATAACGTTGTGCATCAACAGCAGCGTAACACAGTACTTGGCTGGCCTTAAAAGATGAATATATTTTCCAAAAAACATTTTTTAAAAACGTTGTTATACATTAATACGTAGACAGTTGCTTGAGTGCTTAACGACATTAAAACAAATAGATATGACGTAGAATCAGCGTAAATGTGTATCGGCCAGTCTATTACAATTCACATTAACATACAGAGAGAATGAAATGGGAAACATTGGAGGTAATTATACCAACATTAGTAGGGAATCGGCCAGTTTATGAGAGGACACCGAAGTATGAAAATTTTTAGAAAGTTAAGATCCTCCAAATGCGGTTATATGGATCATGCAGCTTAGTTAAACACGTAAGAACTTGCGTACCAAGGATTTTGTACGACGAGCAAGAATATAACTTGGACAGAGAAAGAGGGATGGATGAATCAAGGTTTGAATCTTTAATACAAATGCTGAGTTCTGATTTTCTTAATGAATGGATCAGAAATGAAGCTGGTAGTAAATCTGATGCCGTCTTATTCTTCATTCTAAATAAACAGGTATGAACATGGAGACACGGAATTTACTTCGGTTATTCTTGATTAAAGAAAGAAAGAAAGAACAGGAAGACAGCCGGACAAGAACAGAGAAAGTCAAGGCACAAACTGAATACATTAAAGCAAACAAGTGAAGAGGAGCATTGTAGCCGACAAGCAGAAATATGTGGAAGACCAATCAACGACAGCAAAAATAGCCACAAGAGAAAGAAATATCAGACAACTATATGATATAACGAGGAAGCTGGAAGGGAAATATAGTAAACCATCCCCGACAGTAGTCAGCATTGCGCGTCGTGGTAATCAGTGTTCAGGCACACGAAACACGTAGCCCAACCATCTCAGTCGATAAAGATTCACAACCTCATCAACTGATTAACCATCATTCCGTAATACTTTGAGTCTCACCTCACTATTACTTACCCAGTTAACCAAGCAGACGCGAGCAATATTTCTAGTAACTTACCAGTATCCTTTACCCTTAAATGGCCACGTTTCGCAGCCATTGGTCCGTCACGACAACCTGGCTGGGGTCCGAGAGATGGTGCAACATAGTGACTTAAAACGTTATCAGATATGGCTCAGAACAGAGGCCAGTGGTGACCCTGCTGTAACTTTCTCCATAACAAATGAACGTAACTTCTTTAACTGGAAGAATTCTTTCTGGCTGTATCTGTGCTAACTGAACTGCCTCTCGCACTATTATTATTATTTCACTATCATACACTAATTTCTGTTCGTTATTGTCCTCCTTTTTCTTGCACGCACTTTACATTCTCTATCTCTTCACATTCTCATTGTTATTGTGTGGCGCATATGTTTTTGATGCCCCTTTGCACCAATGTCTGTGTGCCAATAAACAAATAGATAAGAATACTCAAATCGAATATAGGGTTCAAGCCTACCGAACAGTTGAATGTTATTTGTGGCTTCGTTTACGCCCAGAACTCCTTTGACTTTACCCAAACAGCTCCAACTGGACAAAAACTATAGCAACATATGATAGTAAATATCAGTTAGACATTCTACCTGCTTTCCCCACAAATCTTTTTAGGCACTAGATGATCACTAGACATGAACTTAGAAAAAAAAACGCCGATTGCACAGATCATTAGTTAACAGTTGATGCCTTAATGATATGGATATAAGTCGTCAACATACCCAACCAATACTGTTAAAATGAGCTGTCAAATCACTACAGAAAACTTGAAACTAGAAAAGAGATGAAAACTGTTAAGGGGTCAAGTTAGATGTTATGCATAAAATAGTTGGGGAACTTAATGAAACAAACTATGAAAACATATAACTTGAGATTTAAAATGGAATATTTAAAATAGATAGGAAGAAAATAGAACTCACCTTTGCTTGTGGAATGTACTGAGATATATGGGGTCCATCTTTGGTATGATAACATATAATATTGTCGCCGACTAAAATAACGCCTCCATAGGGTTTCGGAACTGGAATAAGGAGTTTAGAATCAGGTTCTATGGAATCTAGGGTCAGTTGAACATTGCGAAGTACGGGCTCCCGTCCATATATTTCATAAGTTTTCATATGCAACACAAGCTCATCCTCATAAATCATAGCAAATGTTGGTAAACTATAGCCATATATGAAGGCCATATCAACAATGTTACCTTCTTCGATTCTTAAGGGAATAAACTACAAAGGGATTGCACTAACCTCACACTGTATGTATTTACAGTCCACTGGTTTGTATCTAGAAAATCAGTGCCTATTTTTTCGCCAATACATTGGAGTAAAATGATTTTTAAAAGCCCATGATACAGTCGTACAACAATATAGTTGGCACCAGGGTCGATTAGAACGTCGAAACCCTGATCGATTATTCGTGCACTTCTATCCTGAAATATTTAGTACACTTAAAATATTCCAGTACCTCTACACTTCCAGAAGCGACAGTGACAAACTCAACTGAATCATTGCTTCGCACACATTCAATGATAGCGACACCAGCTTTGTGAGTGAGTAAAAATAACGAATCCGTTTCACGATCCTGGAATTATTAAAATTTCCTCAAACACTAACTTTTCGTCTAAATAGACTAGCGGCAACGATTTTGGCATTAATAGGCACATCTCGAATCAATTTCAAGCCTTCACATGTGACTTCAAAAACTTCAACATATGTGTTTTTGCATATCAGCAAGTTCAGATCATTCGGGCTGGTGAAATGGCCTGGCAAAAGAGATAATAGAGATTATCCTGCATTACCTGTACACGTTTTTACCACGGCAGTAGGACGTTGGGTAGTCACGTGGTAAAAATGCGCCATCGACAGAACACTACGATTTAAAAGCTAGAATTAACGCGCCACAAATCACAAAGGTTACTCATCTCTTAATTTGCCTAACACAAACAATTTCCAGGTAGTTGACTTTCTTGCAATATTTTCATTAAAAATTGGTAATCGGAAAGATCTGATGCGCCAGACTCATTAAAAACTTAGCATTTAAAATACTTTAGTTCTGGTTTTCGTACATTAGATCTTCCATGGTGAGAAATGGGGAACTGTTGGATTTTTTGGTTGTGCATCTGAATTGTTTGGGGATGGTTCCAAGCTAAGAGAGCACACCGTTCTCATTTTGATTGTTTAACCTAAAAAACAAAACACAGGTTAAATACTAAGGGAATGTTGATGAGAAAACATTGACTTTCTACGCGCATCAGTGAGAACAAACACTAAAATTATTGCTATTCACCATCAGGATCCTCTACTTATCTTTCTGTAGGAAAAGCAGATTTATATTCATCCAATGAGCTATTCTGACCGTGTCTTTAAAAAAACTAGCAATGTCTGTGAAGTCCCAGATCTTCCTGTAATTCGGGAAACCTTCCACACGTAACCCAGTCTGACCAACAAGACCAATAGGTGGTTCACAACTTAACAATAAGACTGGAAGCCACCCATGAAGGGAACCTTATGGCAATACACTTGGCATTCTGGACCAGTTCGGTGAAGAAAGGGGATGCAGACAATTTGTAATCTTTTTGCTGTTGTTCTGTATCAATATAGATTCAAAAAGAGAGTTTTTAATAGATATTTTTCAGAAGGCAGATTATTTACTTCTTCTATGGCTCAGACCACGGATAGTAAACAATTCTCACTCTAATAAGAAGTTTTCACCTTCTTAGTGTACGGCCGCATTTTCATTTTTCCACTTCCGACTTCAGATCAGTATTTTAGAGTTTGTTTATTATTATTTATTATTAGAAAGATATTTGGGTCAGTTTCCTGTAATTTGCAAATAGACTTTGATGCCTGATTTGGATTTTGGATCTGTTGTTATTTGGGATCGGACGTTACAAGGAGATCGATCGACCATGCTTCAATAACGGAAGAGAGTGAAAACGTGAAGATAACAATTTCTGACACAGCAGGTCCTCGTCATTAAAAAAACCCCGATCAATAACTTGCAGCTTGAATCTACTAACGATATGTGATGTAAATGTGGTTATCGAAATGATAAAATCAGTGAAATTATACGGTGGTGTTCACCCAGACACATCAGCTGAATAATAAGTAAGTTACCATGATGGAACTGTACAGTAAGTTCACTGTTGTTACAAGCTTTCAGAAAAAAGCAACTGCCACAATGGAGGAAGAGATAAGGAGGAGGAGTGCCACACCTGTCTAGGTTAAATAAATAATCGTAGTACAGTATCCATAATCAGCTATAAGGTCTTTCATTGTACAAAGGATTTCAGTATGAAGTATGAAGGAAGGAGCACTTTGGAGTCATGTTCTGGTTCTTTGCCTTGAGATCCAGATATAATGCTTGATTTTTACTGCCTTAGAGTCATCTCGAAGTCTTTTTAGCTCACGAATGAAGTGGCTCTTTGTATCTGCTCCACACGATCCGAATGGTAGGGTATTTTAAATGACAGAAAACTTAGATAGGAAGACTTTTTCTTTACGTTCGATTCACCAACTTGTATTTTGACTGACATAGTGTGACTGCTTAGTTTGTAATTGAACGAATCGGTGAAGCCTAACGATACGTATGAAGGGTTCAGTATTTAGTGCACAAACTCGGAAATGTAAGATTAAGCGTTACTCTATTTTGATTTAAAGGTTCCAACCCTAAAGTAATTCTGATCACAGTCCATTCTTTAAGCTGTTCTTGTGAGGCATTGCCGTATTCCTTCAATTTTAGGTCGTTGCTTAAACGAAAGCTCCTGTATATGAACGGACAATATACAAGCACTGTATAGACACAGGCTTTATATGGTATTGGCCGAGACCCAGAATTATGCAACTCATGAGTTTATGTACCTCGAGCTGACTAACGTTATTTGTTTGGAAAAAATTACTCCATTCGACTATCTTGGGCCAAGGTCTAAAACGGTATCACAATGGGACATAGGCATACTAGCCACCTCAAAACGGAGTCATAGGTTGTTGTATCCAATAGTAATCCAGTCGCATTTATTGATATTACACTGAAGTTGGAACTTTCTACTTCATACAACCACCTCACTTGGTGCCTTTTGTATGAAATTAGCTGTCTTATGTGCTCTGCCCCTGTAGCATGAATATACTACCTTTAGGTCATCAGGCCACAATAACTTCCTTCCTAAGTTAACGCAGCCACAAATTCTGTCGATTCATATTGCGAATAAAAGAGGCCCTTGAATACTCTCTTGTACAACCACACTATATAAGTGTGATGAGTTGTAACACATGGAGTAGGTCTGAACCAATATTAGAGAGTCTGTAACGAGCGAAATACCGAAGTTCGTGGTGAGTTGGCTTCCACGAACTACAACGGAACCTCCAGAGGCCCTAAAGGTGCCAAACAGTTCCAGGCAATCAGAACATGATGGAGCTTTCTAGAATATCAACGTGGCATGCTACTATTGGTGTAACGACCGAACTGCCAGTATTCGGTTTGAATGCAGGACTGACGAACCAAAATGTATTCGAATAGGCCAGACTACGTTCTTCTGTATAGCTTACAAAGCGTTTTCTAGATAATCGTATTAAATTATATCAAAACACAAACTCCTTGCTCAATTTAAACGGTTCTAACTTAGAAAACAGAACAAATTATATCAGGAATACAAAATACCTCAAACGGTACGGCCTGTGCTATACAGTCAGAATTTTCGCTGACGCAAAGTATCGCGCTAAACAATATAATACTAAAGGGTACGAGAACTGAGAATCAATAAAAATATTCCCAACAAGATGGGATCAAATATCTATCTGCTGGGATTACAGCAATCCTCCCAAGCAGACAGCAAAAAGGTTAGCAGTCACACACTGAATCATGCCGTGACCTTGAGCTTAGTCAAACACGACCTTACTGTCAATAATCCGGCAATATGAAGTGGGAACTTTGGTAATAAAAAAATAAGTGTAATCAAATCACAAAGTAAAAGCTCGGACGAGGGTGACTGAAGAACAAAATGTGTGGTTAAACGAGCTCTGAACAATGGTTAAAATACACGAAAGGGAGAAGAAACAAATAAATGACAGTCCTGTCCAACGAAAAAAACTGCAGAGGGATTTTCCTCGTTCTCTTTCCGTTACAATTGGTAAGTATGTCTCTTAGCGGATTGGTCAAAATATAATCTTGATGTTGCAAATGCTAATATCTGTAAATACCTGTGATTTTCAGTAAACTTTGACTATTACCAATTAAACACTTCTCCAGCTTTTCTTCTGTCTTCTAATTTGCGACGGTGAAGTTCAACGTTCGAGTGTCGTAGTCGTAAACCGTATTCTGCGTTAGTCAAGTAGCGAACTTAACAGTTCAGTTTGAACGCAGAACAAACGGACCAAATTTTAACTGGATTAGACTAGACTAAGTTCTTCCGTATAACCTACGATGCGTTTTTGAATGACTCGTATTAAAATATATGAAAATACAAACCCTGTGCTCAATTTTATCGGTTATAATTTGAGAAAGAGAATAAATTATATCCAAAGTAGAAAATATATCAGAATGTACAGTCTGTGCTATACACTAGGAGGTTTCTTCAACACAAACCAACGTTCAAAACAACAACAGAAATAGTAAATCAACATGAGTTTTATATCTGAGAATCAATAAAACTTCTCAACAAGATGAGATTAGATGTCTATTTGAAAGGGTTTCAGAAACTTTATTACACAATTGTAGACGTGTCATTATATGACATGAAATTTACATCTCTGTTTATTTTAAGTCGTCCTATCGCGACGGTCAGTAACATGATGTTTAGCACTTTTGAACATATTTTGGCTTAGGATTGAATGAAATATTAAATATGAAAAGGAATGAGCTACATATAGTGACCGCGCCTCGATGGGTGAGCCAGTCCATACCAATCAAGAGTTCTCGCGTTCACCATTTTTGACATTCGCTATGTTGGATGTGAATTTTCTCAGTTTTTATACTTTCGGCTTCCAAAAATCGTGTAGTTGAGAATCAATGCAACTACATAATTGTTTTGATCCGCCTGGGTCATTGGTGTGAGTTCACGTGTTTTGTATCCTGATAATCCATTAGACACAAATATGAAATAAAGAAGTAAATCTGTTGACAAACATTATTTTGAAAATATTCCCTCTCACCCGCTATGCATATGATATTTTCTATAATGAATTGTACATTC